ATCATGGTGCATGATTGAGCAGTTTCTATTAGGTAGATGAGAAAAAGGGCAGGAGATCGAGCATGGAGACGATAACACATAGTTCAATTTGATGGATTCAATAACGTAAGAAATCACATTATCTAACCCGTACTTAGCAAAGCATATGTATAGGACTTTATCATCACCAGCAAATAATCCATCCTCAGCAGCGCAAAACCTCTCTAGGAGTCTGACTAAAAGCTGATCTCTTATCCAATCCGGGCTCGCCATCTTTAGCTCCAGTATCTCCTCCAGCATCTCCTCGATCTTCCTCTCCCACTCCATTTGCCCTAGACTAGACTGGGGTTTCCAATTGATTTCTAAAAGCTTCTTAGCGGACGGACAGCCTTAACCAACAGAGACGGTTGGGTGGTGGGAGAAATTGGAGGCGGCGGCGGGTTAGGCTGAAATTCAGAGAATATGAGACGAGATAAAGATGGGTGTTAATTGGGGCTGAGGGGATTCTTGAATTGGGTTGATTTCGTATTCAGGATATGGGAAGATATAGTTTTTTTTTAGACTCGCGTTGACTTGAGGCAGAGACAGTAAGGACGAGTGAAAAAAAAGAAGAGAAAGGACGTCAACTTTCCCGTTATTTGGGAAGATAAAAAAAAGAGAAAGGACTTGAGGCAGGACGTCAACTTTCCCGTTAATTGGGTTAGGGTTTCTGTTTTCTTTTTTTGTTTTTAAATACATAAAACTTTCCGAATTATATTTGGCCTATTTCAAGTTGGTATTATATAACCTTCGAAGACCCAAAAGAAAAAGAAGAGAAAAATCACCGGCCCTCTCTCCACAGAAAACACGCGATCTCTGCCTCAAAATTCTGAGCCTGGACCACGACCTGAACTTCCTCTGTACTCTGTCTCCATTGAAGTCGATTTGTAAGTGCAATATCTGTTTGGAAAGTGCTCTTTGTTGCTTCTTTCTGTTATTCTTTTACATATCTGCTTGTGTGATGTGTGATTGCTCTAAATTTGACTGTTTTCAAAAGTGCCCTTTGTTGTTTCTTTCTGTTATTTTTTACATATTTGCTTCTGTAAATCTGCCTGTTTAGAACTAGTTCTCTTTGTTGTTTCTTTCTGTTATTTTTTACCCATCTGATACGTGATCTTAATACCGGGCTGCGCAGAAAGTTTGTGAAGAAGATGCAGATGAAGATCAGCTATTTGTATTTGCATTATACGGAGAGACTCTACCGTCTGAACCTTACCAAATTACTAGAAACTAGTTCTAATACCTCTGAGAGACCTCATATTGAAGTTGTCCATGATTTCTCTGCTCATAGGTCCCCTGTGGGAATGAGTTCTGTAATCCTGGGGTCCAAATTATATTTTGTTGGGGGTGAGAGACTGGATATGGATACAAGTACCCCTGATTTTTGGAGCATTCCAATTTCGCGCGCGGACGCAAAAAATTGCACAAACTTAGATTTGTTTGTTTATGATACCGAGTGTTTGTCCATCTGCCCGTATAATGTTAAGGTTCCTAGGTTGGGTGGTCCAATGAGCTATCCAATTGTAGTAACATTAGAGGGTAAAATCTATGTTATGGAGAGACGACCATGTTAGCAATAGTCAATTAATGAGGATTAGTTTGGCACCTACAATGGTTGGTAGCCTACAATGTTTAGTCAATTAATGTGTTAATTATGTAGTCAATTAATGTGTTAATTATGTAGTCAATTAATGTTTGGCACCTACAATATTTGGGGGGCTTGACTAGGTTGGTTGCCTAACTAGTTTGGTTGCCTAATTAGTTTGGTTGCCTAACTTGGGGGGCTTGACTAATGTCTTAGGAACTTGTATATATATGTGTTGATTGTAAGGAATGAAACATAAGTGAAAAATCAGAAAATATTCTACAACTTTCATTCTCTCATTCTCTCTACACTTTCCACTCTCTACTCTCAATATTCTCTATGTTTTAGCATGGTATCAGAGCCTAATGGCTAATCCTTAAGATCCTCTATCAAATTGAGAGTCGTTGGCATTTTTTTTTCTCTCTCTCACGCCAACATCTTGTGTTTTCTTATTTATGGTTTCTTTTCTCACCACCTATCACATACTTCTTACTTTATTCCCTTTTATTTCCTTAAATTATTTCTTCCACTCTATTTCCATCCAATTTTTTGTCTGGTATATTTCTTCTCCCTTGTTGCCTTTCACTTTTCTCTGTGTTACCCACGGGTGTTTTCTCCTCATCTCTTCGTTCTCATGCACACCACATTTGTGCCTAATGTTTTGGTGGGTATCAAAGTTTTCTGTCTACCCATATATATATATATGAAAATCTTTTCTTTGCTACCTCTTCTCTTTCCCGCCAATAACTTGGCTTCCTTTTCCCTTTATTTTATTGGACTTGTTTTGCACCATATGCCTCTTCCGTTTCAACACCTCTTACACTTGTCCACGTCACCTACCCTATCTATACAATATTCATCCCTTTCTCTCTATGTGTGCATACACGTCATCCACCTTCATTCATTTTTAATCCTTCTTTCTTTTTGGGTTGCAGACTCTTTTCCATCTTTTATTCCTTTTCTCCAGTTGTCGGATGCCCATCTCCATTCCACCTTTCCTTGCATTTGTTTCTACCACGAGACTGGCATGTTTGAGTCTCTTTACTATTATTTCATTTTCTCTTCTTCCAAATCTCGACCCTCTACCAGTGTCAGATTTGAGGGGGAGATAGATGCAACTTTATTTGGGTGCTGCAACTTTATTGTCATTACCGGTGTTGCTTTCTCCAAATCTCGACTCTCATACGTCGTCGGATTTGAGGGGGAGTGACACTGCTGCTCATCTATTCCGCTGCAATTCTGTTACCTATCTGCCATGACTGATTCTTCTACATCTGAGCTTCAGTCATCTTCTGTTTCTCAAGTGCCACTGCTCTTATGGTTCTGACAACTCCTTCTCTTCAGGGGGAGAGGATGAGTGAAGAGAAGTTGTGTATGCAATAATGGAAGTATTTGTGACGCTGCTAGTATTGTTGTTGCTGCCTACTATATCCTTTGCTAGTGCTAGCTGCTGCCTTTTGTGTCCCTTTGCTGTTAACAGTGTTGTTGCTCCTACCTATTATGACTCTGGTGCCAGTGTCTTAGATTTCTCTCACTGGTGCTAGTGCCACTGATCATATGGCTTCATCGACCCCTTCTCTTCAGGGGGAGAGGGGGAGTGAAGAGAAGTTGTCTCTGATGTTGTTGCTGCCACAGTTGTTTGCCCTACCTTGACTTGCTGGTGCCAGTGCCTTGTATTACTCTTGCTGGTTCCAGTGTCTTATATTGCTCTTGCTGGTACCAGTGTTGCTCTTGCTGCTGTCAGTGTTGTTGTCTCTTGTTGAGGACAGTGTTGTTGTTGCTTCTACCGTGTTCTTGCCTTTACCGGTGTGTTTCCGATGTGGTCATGCTCGTTGACCCTGCCTTTGCTCTTGACTTTCCGTACCCTTGCCTTATCCTATTTTTTAGGGTTTGGCTTTACCTTGCCACACTTTACCATGCTTTGCCTTACCTTGCCTTATCCTATTTTGTAGGGTTTGGTTGCCTTTGCCTTTGCTTGGCCTTTATTTGTCTTACCTTGCCTTACCCTTTCTTTTTAGGGTTTGGTTTTACCTTGACGTGCCTTTCCCTATTTTAGGGTTTGGTTGTGTTCTTGCCGTGTTCACAGGGCTTCTGTGTTCTTTACCTTACCTTTGCCGTGTTCACAGGGTTTCTGTGTCCTTTGTTTTGCCTTTGCCTTGTTCGCATGGTTTATGTGATCTACCGACCAACCGGCTGCACTTGGATTTGGTGTTGCCACCGACAGACCGAAATGATTAACTTCGATGTGGCCTTTGCTCCACGTGTGGCCCACCATGTAGTGGTCCCACGTGAGGGGGCATGTTGAAGTGGATCGACATTCTATTAAGAAGAAGCTTGATGCGGAAATATTAATAACGACAGTCTCTCTTTTGGCAAGTTGGTCATTGATGATATCTATGCACCAACTTGAGGGGGAGTGTTAGCAATAGTCAATTAATGAGGATTAGTTTGGCACCTACAATGGTTGGTAGCCTACAATGTTTAGTCAATTAATGTGTTAATTATGTAGTCAATTAATGTTTGGCACCTACAATATTTGGGGGGCTTGACTAGGTTGGTTGCCTAACTAGTTTGGTTGCCTAATTAGTTTGGTTGCCTAACTTGGGGGGCTTGACTAATGTCTTAGGAACTTGTATATATATGTGTTGATTGTAAGGAATGAAACATAAGTGAAAAATCAGAAAATATTCTACAACTTTCATTCTCTCATTCTCTCTACACTTTCCACTCTCTACTCTCAATATTCTCTATGTTTTAGCAGACCATACTTTGGTTGTCGGGAAAATTTCTCCCATCCCATTTTTGTGGTTTTTAACCCCACTACTGGGTTTTGGAGATCTCTCACCCCTCCCCCATTTTATAAGCCTTTTTCCCGAGAATGGAAGGATGATGACCTTATTATGAACCATTATGCCTGGGGCAACAAGCTGGCCATTGTCACGAATAAATCTTCATATATTTTTTATGCACATCAAGAGGCATGGAGGGAGGTGGATGATTTACCCAATATATATTCTTGTGTAGAATTTAAAGGGTTTTTGATTGGCATGTTGGTTGGAGTCACAAACCTTATTAGTTTTGAATTGGATGACAACGGGTTACCTCATTCCAGTAACTATCATGTGCTACCTGAACTTAGAATAATATTCTGTCCTCCTTTGCACAATCATAGCCCTGGCTTTGTCATCCCCCTTGATGGTGATGGCAGCCGTATGTGCTTTGTCTATGTGGGCGAAGATGGCACATTTGAAAGGTCGTTTGCCCGTTTAGCAATGGTTAAACTTCATATATCAACATGCATTGGAAGGCAAAAGGTTACTGCAGTTCTAGAGGGTTTGCACAATTTCGATTGCAATCGACTTCATTTATCTGGTCAAACTCTTCTCTCATCTTTCATCAAGTAAGCAAAATATTTTAATCGCACCACTTATTCAGTGTTTGTTTGCCTTCATGTGTTGTGGTGAATGTTGTTTAACAATTTCCCTTCATGTCCTTGTCATTTCATAGGTGTGATCATTTGGACAAGCATGGTATCGAGGCTGATGCAAGTTGCAGTAGTCCTTCCACCCGTAAGTTTTGTTGATTAATTATGTCTGGAGTAATAAAAGTTCATGAATATCCTGTTTTATTTGTGTTCGCATTCAAATTCTGATGCAAGATGTAAGTTAAGCAAGGAATACCCAATTCAGAATTTAATAAAGGTTTGAAAGTTGGTAGGCAAATGGCAGATTAGGATACAATGATATGGGGCCACTTATTCCATATATTAACTTTCGGAATTGTGTTCGACGCCTCTAAGACATAATCCATGAAAACAATGTGTAAAACATACCAGAATCTTTATTTAATGAAAGAGCTCATACAGTTACCACAAGTAGTTCTGCTTTTGATGACTTATCGTCTATCTTGTAGTAAGGGCACACACCCATTGAGACTCGTTGATAATAGCTCAAACTAAATTTCCTTTGTTTCGTAAGATAAGAATTTGGAATTTTATTTATTTATTTGATGAGTTATTTTGTACCTTGCAGGACCTTGATCATGAACAAATGGAAGCAAGACCCAGTTTGTAAAAAGTAGGGTATTTATTTGGAGGCTACCGTCTGTTATTCTCTACCAACTCTCGTGACACTTTTATTCTATTTTGTTATAGAACTTAATCCGTAGCTAAGGCTAGTTTGGAAACCTTCAGCGGAAGTATGGAAGTTTGTTAGTTTGATCAGAAATTCAGATTTTTTTCCTGTGTTTCTTGCGTTTTACCCTCCCTTAGTTTTATGTACAAGTTCTGAAGTTCTAATCATGAATATTAGGAAGAGGGCGAGACGCTCAACCATCTGGGAAATTTACAAGATCCATAACCTGCAGAAAAGGAATGTCCACCAAAAAGAATAGGCTTATTTATTGAAATGTCCCCTATGGTTTCCAAATAATCTTAGTTTGGCCTTTGACGTTTTAAATGACTCAATCTCCCCCTAAACTTCTATTGCATGACCAAGGTTGCCTCATTTCGTAAAAGAATAGTTAAATACTTTTTCGGTCACTGGTTTTTACACGAAAATTCAATTTGGTCATTGAGAAAAAAAAAGAGTTTTTCTATTTAAACCCCACACTTTTCTTTGTTCACCCCAATACTTAAATTATTAAGTTGTTAAGTATTATTATTGTGTAAAAATACAAAAAAGGTCGAACACTAAATACAAATATCAGCAAACTCCTATTGAGTTTTTGAGAATTATTAGACTAAAATAAACACAGAAACAAAGAAACAGCACCATATATATCCTCTCCAGCAAACCAAAGAGACTCGTAGCACCAACATGGCTAAACCTCTTATTTTGCACAGGCAAAACCTGATCCCACACAAACCGACAACAATCACTTTTCCAACTCCAAACATTGAACTGGAGCAAAATCCATGTGAGTGGACCAAAAGTTGCAACAAAATCATGGCGTCTAAGGTGGATTGCAATACTTGCTTCAAAAACACAATGAAAACCCAAAGAAAAAAGCTAGGTTGACAACACCACACCGCAGCCATCCCAGCGACAGCAAGACACATCCAAGATCAACAAAAGTCACCAAGGACCTACAACAGCAAACACACAAATAAACAAACAAAAGACAAGATCTAGATAGATCTGGGCAAGAGGACACAAAATCCAAACGAATTTGGGGAGAGAAGAGGAGAGGGGAAGAAAACTAGGAAATGAGAAAGGGAGATGAGGAGAGAAAGATGGAAGATGGGGAAGCCACCCAGGGGGGGTGGCGACTGCAGTGCAAGCTCATTGTTTTAAATTCTATTAAGTTTTAGAAAAATACAAACTCCTCTACACCCTATTGCCAGATTACTCTTTTCTTTCAATCCAAGAAACATGAAGTATCCTTTGCACCTAAGAAAAAAAGAATATGAAGTATCTTAAATTTTCTTTTAGTATGCCAGTTTGTTTGATGATGTTAACTTACATATCAATTTAATTGTCAACATTTCTCTATGAAAACCTCTTGGTTCATTCTCGAATTTAAAAATAAAAATAATAAAATAATGTGACTACACATTTGACGACAATGTTTTCATCTCTTTAAGTAATGTGAGGTTGACAATCTCTACAACTGGGTTGCCACCATCATCGGCCCCTTAGGTTTTTTTCCTCTTCTATGAATTGGAGAATAAAAAATACATATTTTCTTTCTCGGTTAAATGCCTTATGATATGGGTTTGCTTTGTTTGTTTTCTGGGTTAAGCTTAATTTGAAAAGTAAAAAATTTGAAGGTTTTACTTATGGAGTTGTGAGCTTGAATTTATAGTTTCCCAGCTCAGTTTTCATATTTAAGATGAGGGTTTCCTTTGTTTTCTGGGTTAAGCTGAACTTTGCTTAATTTTGTGCTTCTCGTGCAGTTGACATTGTTTTTTAATAACCAAGTGAGTGAGGGATTAAAAAGTTTAGAATTTGAATCGTTTCAAACTTTTCTGCGTTTAAAGCGGATCAATTTTTTTGGGGTTGCTCAATTTTTATAGTTAGAGGTTCACTTTTGAGAAGTAAAAGAAAGTGGCTTTTAACTTTTTCAAGTATTTCACCAGTGTGACAATTGTAAAGTTAATATTAATATATGGGTAATGCTAGGCTTACCATATTTTTATACCACATTGTGTACCACCTCTCTAATAGAGGTGGAGCCCACCAATACAATACTGTCCACCTCTATTAGAGATGTGGTACACAATGTGGTATGAAAAATGTGGTAAGCCTAACATTTTCCTTAATATATGGTAAGCCTAACATTTTCCTTAATATATATTTGAGTCAGTGTCTTTTAAGGGTAGTTAGTCTTTTCCTTATTTAGGGCATCTTTATATGCCTATATATTGTAAGCTTACAACAACTTTATTATTCTATTGATTTGTGAATATATTGGCATTCTCTACTTCTGCTTAAATTGTTCACATGGTATCAGAGCGATCCTCCTGGGTTGCTGCTAGTTTTTTGTTCTTCCCCCCTTATGCCTTCTTGATTCGTGTTGCTGTGTTTCCTTATTGATTTGCTGCTACGTTTTCTGGTGTTGGCTGCTTTTGTCTTCACAATTCCAGCCAAGTCAAGTGGTGCTCAACTTCATAAGGCCTAGTCAATAAACAAATGGCAAAAAATAGATAAAATCCAACTAGTTGGATTTGGAATAAATAATCAGCCAAGATAATCCAAGATTCTGGATTGACTCACCACTCACTTCTGAGACCCAAAAACAGCCACGTCGAGCTCCTTGTCAGTCGGGTCGAGTCCACGGCATCGAATCAAGCTCTTGCAACACGGTTTCGTCTCCACAACTTCTTTAATTGTATTCTTAAAGCCCAACAACCGGATTTTAATATATACATATATAATAAAAATGGGATGCTATTGTTAACTTGGAGACAAAAGAAGGAAAGCCAACTCACTTTTTCTTCATGGAATCTTGGCTGCTGGGTTTGACTTGAGAACGATGCGATTGGAGTTTGAGGCTTTTGTGTGGTTACAGCAAGGTGGGGTTTTCAGCTCTGCTTTATGAGCTTCAAAGTAAAATAGTTAAATGACAAAGCTCCACAAGCAAGATGAGACAGCTGAGGTTTATTGAACCCAATGAGGAAAGTGGGTCTCGTTTGTCCTCACCACAGCACAAAACCCATACGCAATTGTTGCTGGGTATTGACTTGGAGAAGTTAGACGGTTGTAACTTCTCTTAGAAGTTGGGGGTTTTAAGCACCTAAAAATAAAAGGTGGGGAACCATGAGATGTGGTGTGGTGGTAACTCACCTCATTCCTTAACCATGAGGTTGGGGGTTCGATCCCCGCCCATGGGAATGGAGCGCATTTCATGGCCAGCCGTTTACCTCGATTGGGAGAGCTCCCGCGGCGAAAGGAATTAGTCACTGCTGTCGGCGGTGGATACCTTTGGGTCTCACCTAAAAAAATAAAATAAAAGGTGGGGCCCTCTCTTAAGGCCAATGGTTTTGTGAACAAATAAAAGAGACTTTGGCGGCCTGAGGGTGCATGCGGTTTGGCCTTCGAACTAGACCTGGCAAACGGGTCATACAAACGGGTTTCGGGTCGTGTTCATGTTAACCTGTTAACTTAACAGGTTAACAAGACACGACCCGTTAAGTTAACGGGTGACAAATACTAGACCCAAACACGACCCGTTACAATTCGCGAACGACACGACCCATTAAGAATAAACCAGAAAAAAATAATAAAAAAACCAACAACTACCACCGAGCTTAGCCATCAACCCCTTATCTATGTCCTCTCCCCCAAATATCCATCTCATAAACACCATAACCACCCCTCAAAACCCCAACCCACATTGACGGACAGTGAAGACTTCTTCACTGGTTCTCAACTTTGACATCAAAAGATGACCTTTTAAGTTGGCTGGAGAATAAAAGGCTCGGTTGAAGAGTTGGTTTTTTGGCATGAGAGAACCCACGTGGGTTTACCTTGGTATTCCCAAATTTGGGTCAAATTAGCATGGGTGTTGAAAGGCTATGAGCAATATATATATTGCATATTATACTTTGTATATGTATGTAATAATATAATAAATTAAAGGCCTATGACCTTGGAGGTTGGAGACAAGAATGAAAGGCCAACTAAGTGGCCTACGAAGTCCCTTTCTCTGTCTAAATATATTGGCTTTTTATCACAAAACGTCTCTGAGGTTTGCAAAACTATCAGATTGCGTCTTTTTTTTTTTTTTTTGTTTTTTGTTTTTTGTCATTCCTGGTCCTCAAGGTTAACATGCGTGCTCAAAAGTAGTCCTTACCGTCAGGTTCCGTCCAAAAATCTGTTAAATTGATGATGTGACACACATGTGGGCCTCACATATCCAATGATACGACGCCACGTGGATTAAATAAAAAATAAAATTTTAAAAATAAAAAACTGTATAATAATAAAAACTGCAACTTATCTCCTCTCTTTCCTCTCTCCTCTCTCCTCTCTCCTATCTCCTCTCCCCATCTCGAATCATTAGGCCCGCGAGCCCATGGGCCGATGGGGGCCCGCCGGCCCATTGAGAAAAAGCCCAGCCTGGCCGGTTGTTGAGTGGGTTGGGCTTGGGCTTGAACTTGGGTGTCTAAAGCCCGGCTCGGCCCATAGGCCCAGCCAATTTGAGCTCAAGATAGCCCGGCCCACGGGCTCACATACATGTAAATAAATATATAAAAAAAACCAAAGTTAAATGAAATATGGAGAAAACCATTATCTATTATCATTGTATACTATATCTTTATAATTTTATTAATATAAGGTTGTATAACTATATCTTTATGTTTATGAAAAAAAAAAAGAAGAGAAATACATGTAAATATGATTTATGAGAAAACCATTACAAATCATATAATACATGCCTCCATTATCTCAGGGAATCCTGTGGTTTTAGCGAAACAAGACCACAATTGGGTAAAAATTCTTCCTTGACTACTTGAATTTCCAGGCATTATTTGCTTAATTAAAACTGTTGATTTCAAAATTTAACTAAGATTATTTCCTTGACTACTGTGATATCAAAACTGTTGTTTCATGACAAGGTATAAAACAAAACGGATATAGTCCAATTTGTATATTTGTCCTTTCCAGACCTATTAAATTTTAGAACATTGGCATTTCATGCTTCATGGGCCAACAAAAGTAGTATTATTGTTTTCATTTTGGGAATATGTTCTTCTTGAGGCCCTAAGAGTATCCTGGTTATCTAGCATAGCAATATAATAATTTGTCAGGTGCGCCCTTCATACTGATCTGTGCAGATGTGGGTACGTAGATTTTCTACCCTCTACATGGTCAGGTGCAAGTGCTATTTCAGCATTCTTTGCTGCAGCATGCATGCAGTTTACCGTTAAAACACATATATCTGCCAATCAAGAAAGTGGATATGCTAGCACCTCCCTGGAGTGTGCTCTTGGATTCTTTTAAGGGTTGTCTCTTGTTTTGTGTTTCTCTGCGCAGCACCTCCTGTCCTGGTACTCTTTCTCTTCCTCTTACACACCCAAACACACAAAGGAGCACAAGCGCACAAGCGCTTGCAGACATTTACTTGTTAGTGATTGTGCCTGCTGCGTGATTTTGCTGACTACATGGTTTGTTTTAGAAAGGATCCGGGAACCTGAACGGTCAATTGGACTGTAGCAATCCGAATACCAGAAGTCTGCAATGAGATCTGAAGTTAGTTTGGCCATATTGTATCAGTGCTTTGCCACTCTTGAACGCATTTATATTTAGGACAATTTCATGGATATTCTACTTTGGCAGCTCTGCATGCAGTCAAGCTTTCGTTTTGTTTTAAGGTTGAGTTCCCCTTATGTGTAGGGGAAATGACATGGAATAGGGATACCATTACCAACGAAATAAGGAACTTAACTTCTTTATGACTTTTAATCTCTTTCCATTACTCTGCTTGTGGAATCAGATTGGATTTGATTTACCTTTGGTCTTATTTAACCAACCAACTATTGGTTTAGTTCTTTTCGAATGAGTTGTTAAAATTGGTTCATGACTACGTACTTGAATTCCACTCCAAATATCTGACTTAGATTTGGAAAGGAAATGGGCAAGGGAGATCCGAATCGGACATTTTCTCATGCCTTGCGAGCCAAACAAGCTAGCTAATTTAGATTGAGCACACAATAAATGTAAGTAAATATGAAAATTTGAAAACTTCAGTGGGGGAAGCTGCCCCAGTGGGCACTAGCTGCTTTCGTCCATGGTCTCAGCAAAATACTTCAAATCAGTGGGCAATTTTCCATGGTAAATGGCCTACTCAACCAAGCTGGGGTGTGCTCAAGGGAGAGGAAGATTTCAAATCCTGTATGGCATTTTGATAACAAATTTAGAACACCACCTTGTATATCAATAATTTTCCTTAGTATCACCCAATCTGGCCCACAATTAGCCACATTCGATAACAATTTGTTGCTTTCAATCACATTTAGAGATCCATTTTTCGAAGATGATGAAAAGAAAACCAAATCATGGATAATAGGATAACAATACAAACCATGTTTCCATACTATCTCATAATATACCAATAAAACCTTGATCAAAAGTAAAGCTACATTCCTCGCTAATTGGAGAGTAGAGTACTAAGGATCATTCTAACCATAAATTTCTAACTATGCTAGACCAAAGATCTTTCTTCATGATTGCAAGGCCCTCCCCCTCTTTAGCCAAAGAATCCCTCTTCTCACCAGTAAGTTACCTGTTCCAAGGATTAAAGAAAAAAAAAATAAAAAACAATAATAACTCAAACAAACAAAAACAAAACCAAAACCAAAACAGAGTCGAACAAGAAAAGAAGAGAAAGAACAAAGATTCATACATATACACATATAAAAGTATATATGTATTGCGATACCTACACAACCAATGTATGATTTTCCTTCCGAAAAATCTTGTACGGAACTTCTTAATTATTTTCTCTCAATCATCTGTTGTTCAAAACAAATATTAAATGCAAGTAAACACTTGACTAGAATAACAACGACAGCCACTTTAGGCTTAGCGGCTTATCATATTCAGACATACGTATACACACATTTACACATGCTCTCTAAAATGCGAGTGTGGTGAATAATACAATTATGAATGAACTGGAAATTTAAAGAAAATATAGAGAACAAAAACACAACAGAGAGGCACAGTGAACTAAAGTATAAAGACATGAGAAAATAATATATAGACATCATGCGGCATAATTAACCAACAAAACTTACAACAAAATGGCACCAAGAATCTCTACATTATAGATGTCAGATTCTTGAGGACGCTGGGTGTCAGTCTCGCTTTCAACAAAAATGTTAGTACCGAGGAATTGGACATCCAAGGAATCCTTTTTCTTGGTAAATTCAAATTGTAGGGCAAAAACGATCAACTCCTCCTCCTCCTTCTCCACCCCATCAACATAACTATCGAAGCTGGACAAAAGAAGGCAGAGTCTTGGACCTCCTAGATTGACAAACCTATAACTGGTGGGAGGAAGGAATACAGGAGGTATCTTATCTGTTGGCAGCTGCACACGGCTTAGAGTCGTCACACAACCAAAATCAGACGACAGCAATTGCACTAGCATATGCGGATGAGGATACTCTGGCTCACCATAACTAAAACTAAAGAGTATAAATTCCCCATCACCACCGTCTGCCACGAATGTTCTGCCTAATGTATTTTCAGGCAAAGGGTCGGAGTTGAAAGAAGAAGGGAGTGCTCTCCATCCCTTGACGGGCTCAGCAACATCAAATCGGTAGTAGGAGGGAGAATATGCACTGGTGCAAAAGATGTTTGATCCAGCGACAAAGCAAAAAAAATCTCCAGGCCCAGCAGGGTCACACGTCCTATTATAGTCATCGAAAACCGGCGGGTATGGAAGAGTCGACCATACCCCGCGAATGGGATCGAGTACCTCGAAATACGAAGAACCCCTAGAATTGATAGATGATTGTATGGGATAACTAGCCAAAGCATACAGCTTTCCGTCCACCTCTAGGAGGAAAGGGTTCGCTTTCCCTTCATTGAAACTCCCGAAGGTCCTGAAGGTGGTGTGGCTTTGGCTTTGATTTCGAGTATCAAACACTTGAATTTCTGTACACGGACATGGCACGAATCCGCCTAATTTTGGGTTATATCTGCCTTCCTGGGTAGCTACTATCGGGTCATACACGCCTATCGTGCCACCGGCCAAAAGAATTTTGGATCCGAAGACACCGCAGGCCATATTATCCGGAAGATCCTCGCCGGATGTGTAAGCCACTTGCCGTAACTTCAGTGAGCACCCAGAAGACAGAGAAGAAGAAGAAAATAAAGCGCTCAATTCAACGGCTTTAATAGCGTAAGTAGAGTAGCCATCCACTCTGTGCTCGGCCAAACATATGTAGAGATTTTTGTCATCATAATCACCTTTCCAAACCATGTCTGCCGCCACTTCCTCTTCTCCTTCTTCCTCAGAGTTTTTTTTTGTTTTGTTGTTGAACCTCCTCCTCGAGAGTTACCCTAGTTTTTTTAAATATTGTTCTTTTGTTTTCTTCTCGCGCTAGGTTGCTTGCTTTATATAGGCACGATTCTTTCCTCATTAGAATGGGATGGATTCTTGGGATAATAATAAGAGATTTTCTATTTAAACCTCGTAATTAATAATTAAGTTGTAAGTTTTATTATTATGTAAGTTTAAATAGAAAATCTCTAATAATAACTAGACGCATTTTTTTAAAATTTTAAAATTTATTTTAGAATTAAAAAAGATAATGGGTAGTTGTGTTTCATAAAAAGAGGATCTATTATCTAATTTTTCTTTTAATTTTAAATTTTGTTAATATGAAAAAGTGTGAATTTACCATATTATCCTCATTTAATTAATAATTTTAATTCTCAATATTTGCATTAACCAAGGGCATTTTCTGGTATTTTGAATGTTTCACAATTCTTTGTCTTTTGCTTTATATATACTAGCCTCTCCGCACGCGCTTCCACGCATGCGAGAGGTATTTTTTTTTAAAAATTTAAATTTGTTTTAGAATTAAAAAAGATAATGGGTAGTTGTGTTCCATAAAAAGATGATCCATTATTTGATTTTTCTTTTAATTTTAAAATTTTTAAATATGAAAAATGTGAATTTACCATATTATTCTTATTTAATTAATAACTTCAATTCTTAATGTTTGCATTAACCAAATGCATTTTATGGTATTTTGAATGATTCACCGTTTTCTACCTTTTGCTTTATATATATAGATAGAAGAATTGTACAAGGGTATTATTGAGATAATATTTCCCTATAAAATGACGCGCGACTTGGTTTTTAACCCTAGACACTTGACAACATAATAACATAGCCCTTCGATTCGGATATATTGCAGAGAGAAGTTTATAGCTATCGGACGCTGTGTCTGGTCGTATACATACAAGTTACAACCAAAGCAAGCACCGCCGTCGACTTCTCAGCCAAACCCAAACTCGCTAATTCACCGTCTTCAGGTCTCTCTCTCTCTCTCTCTCTCTATGTATTTTGTTGTTTATATTACACATATGTTTCAATATTAGGGTTCAGGAGTTTATGCCTGTTAGGGTTTCTATATTCGCAGGATTTTGTCAAATTGGTACTTGTTCTCCCAAGTGTATGCTTGTAATTCATCATTTATGTAGCCAATTTCAATTTCATTGTTTGAAAAAGATCTAAATAAACGTACTTTTATAAATTAAAGATTGGTCCTTTTTCTGTGCTTCTTTCTTCTTCTTCTTCTTTTTCTTCTATCAACTTTACCTGGGTAGAACATGGTTTTTTGGTTCTCATTGGGGTGTTTTTTCCCCGTTTCAAAATCCTTCCACAGGTGAACCCTAGGTTTCCCTAATAAGCTAATAGAGTGAGTTACTTTGCGCCTATCTATTATTCTCCACAAAGCTATGTTTAATTTTGTTGTTTTTTATGTAGTAATTTTCTTGTACTGGGAAGAACTTGCATTGGTATAAGTTGGGATACTTTTTCTTGAAATCTTTCTTTCTTATTTGTAGGGTTAATTTCGTGGCTTACCAATTAGTGGTGAACTTGACTTGATTGGTTTCCGTAATGTTATAATATTCCCTTTTCAAGTTAGTAATGAATTTTTGAAATTGGACACAGGGCTGCTGACAGTCAACTAAAAATGAGGGGAAGGAGCTACAGCCCATCACCACCAAGGGGGGGATATGGTAGGAGGGGACGAAGTCCTAGCCCCAGGGGTCGCTATGGTGGTCGTAGCAGAGATCTTCCTACAAGCCTTCTAGTTCGTAACCTTCGCCATGACTGCAGGTTTGTTGTGGCTTACCATCATTCTCTTTTTTCCTTCTAGTAATATGATTGCTTTGCAAATTTTATGTAAGGACAAGTGATGGATATTTTAGAAAAACAAAAAGGCTAGTGATAGATGATGAGCATTTCAGCAAAACGAAGGAGGAAATATGTTGAATAGATGTGATACATCAGTTCATATGTATGCTTCTTGTAAATCATGGTTCATATCATACAATGCTTTGGACTCTGTATTAGTCCCAATTGTGTCCTACTATTCTTGAGATTCTAGCATGCTAGTTATTGTGAATAATTGAACGTTGAACATTCAACAAATTATGTTTGTTTATAATTTTATATGGAACATGTTTCTTTTAGAGGATCAGCCTGGTTGATGTTTATCATTGATGTTTTTTAGTTATTTTATTTCCTAATCTGTATGTTGGACTTTTCGCTTTATAACGTCTGCAACCATTTTCTTTCTTTTCGGTTGAACGGGATCAATTGCTAGAAGTTTATTGTTCTGAAATATGTTCCCCCAATTGGATATTATGCATCTTGTGGCTTCATATGCCTGTAGTAAATTTTGTTTAACATCTTACTCGTTAAATAAATTTTGAATTAATGAGATGTTTCTTTTTCATTATGTTCTCTTATGCAGGCCAGAAGATCTCCGCAAGCCATTTGGGCAGTTTGGCACTCTTAAGGATGTTTACCTGCCAAAGGATTACTATACTGGGTGAGCATATCTGAGTAACTTTAGTTATCGAATATCTTGGCGATGAGATTAGCTTTTGAATTATTATTTTTTGTATATTTATTTTAGTGTTTATTTTTATATGTATATTTTACCTTATCAGTAGAAATTGTGTAGTTTTCCTCATGCTTATTCTGCCTCGTGATTTCTGAAACTATTGGATGATTTAGTAAGCTTTTGTGATATTTTTTCAATTGTCTGATAGGAATTGAAATTATTTGGGGATATTTCTTTTCAGAATCTCTATAGAGTTGAACATCTCTTGTTATGTAATGCTATGCCCATCCTTCTGTCCCCACATTTTATTCTAGAGTAAAGCATAGCTTTTGAGAACAATTAGTCTTTATGATATGCTCAATGCTATTTACATTAATTGTGTAAGGAATCAACTTAAAATTGGAAAATATGTTTTCTGGGATTTGACCTAGCAGGCCCTTCTAATGCACCTTATGATATGTTCAATGCTGTTTTCGTTATTTGCTAAAGGAATCAATTTAATATTTGAAAATTTGTTTTGTGGGATTTGACCTAGCAGGCCCTGCTATGCGCCCATAAAAATATCCTCAAGATGGTTTTTTTTACATGTTCTACTCTTATTATTACCATAAGCTGGGGTGTATTCATTGAAGTTTTTGAGGTTTAACAGTGAAATTAAAGTTTTGAAGACAACAATCAAGTAATTAGAGTTCTTTTGAAGATGATGTTAATGGTAGTGAAGATTTGAAGGAAGTTGAGTTTGAATACATTGTGAAGATGTTCCAAGTCTTGAAGAATTTCAAGTCATCTTAAAACTGACACTTGCAAGGTCAGCAGCCAAGTGCTTGCTTCTTTATTGTGGCCATCCATATTGTTGGCGATTATTTCGGCAAATTTAATAGGAATGGTTTATGGTGTTCAAGTACTTGCATAGTTTTACCTTTCAGTGTAGTTCCTTTTGTGACTTGTCTTTGTTTTCTCTTTACACCTATTTTTGCAGGGAGCCTCGTGGTTTTGGTTTTGTCCAATTTGTTGAACCTGCTGATGCTGAAGAGGCTAAATATCAGATGGATGGTCAGCTTCTTCAAGGCCGAGAGGTTACTGTTGTATTTGCAGAGGAGAACAGGAAGAAGCCATCAGATATGAGGCATAGGGAGCGTGCGAGGTAAAACCTGCCTATTGCTTTACAGGCTTTGTCATATGGGTTGTAACTTGCACTTTGATTGGAGTAATATATCTTCTGTTTATCTATTTTCTTTTATCTTTCTTTTCCTTCCAAGTTTTATTTAGGCATGATATGTATGATTCAATGAAACTAATGTGTGGCAATTGTTTAGGGAAGGACTTCTATGTTTGTTCCAATATTTGGTGACAATTTTGAATTCTAACTTGACATGTAACACAAGAATATTGTTGTAGTAACCATTTGGAGTAGAATTTTAAGTTGAAAATATGTGTGATTCTATGGATATGGTGAGGATCAAAATAGTGCTTTAATTTATCCTTAATGTCTTGAATATTGGACTTGCAGTTTTGCTATTGTACGTTTGCTCCAAGAAGAAATTATGCAAAGTGAATATTTGGATAATATAAGTAGTGTTTAATTAAGAATATCAGGACAATCCTTTTTCTACTTCTGAGTAGTCTATTCAACCTTTCAAATGTTTGTTCTTTCAGCACCAGGAGTGGTCGAAATCGTGATCGAAGACGGTCTCCTCCTCAATATTCACGCTCTCCACGATATTCCCGATCTCCACCTCCACGCCATACAAGATCTCGGTCCCGCAGCCGTGATTATTATTCTCCTCCCCCAAAACGAAGGGATTATTCGAGGTAATTTTTTGGTTTTCCTCCCAGCCATCTACTTTCCAGTAAAGACATTTATGTGTAGAAACTTCTAATTCTGGTTTCCTAACCTGTTTATCATTTGAAAAATCCAAATAAGATGCATTAGATTTTGGGGATAAGTTTATATTTGGGTTTAGGGCTGTTGCTAGTCGTCTATTGTTTGACTGAAGGAAGGATGGTTTAATTTGTTGTAATTCGTGTTTTGTTCGGTGTCAAAATGGCAGTTTTATCCTTTGATTGGTTTCTGAAAGATCCGGTGGTATTAGCCTATTGATAATGATTTAAGGAATAGTATTTGCTAGAAAATGCTTATTTACGTTTTGTATGGTGTCTTTGTCACTTCTGAATTTCTTTCATCTTTTATGCTCATCAACTTATGTGTTTCTGTCTAGTGCGCAATGCCTAGTGCGTTCTTCTATTTGTTCTAATGTTTGAGCTTCTGTTGCTTCTTATGGGTTGCTAGATCTGTGTCACCACCCCAAGAGCGAAGGTACAGTAGAGAGAAGTCGTTTTCTCGATCTCCTCCACCATATAAGGGCTCAAGGAGCCACAATCAGAGCCCGGATAGGGGTCCAAGCCGAAGCAGGAGCAGAAGCAGAAGTCACAGTCCAAGGCGAATCGACAGACGGACCCGAAGTCCTATTAATGAAGATTACCCAAGGGAACCAAATGGAGACCGATCTCCTAGTCCATGAACAATGTAGAGAGAGAGCTCTTAAGCTAGTAGAAACTTGCTATGCTACCTTTTGAATTTCATTTAGTATGTGTTATGTTTGATGATGTGAACGTATTGTTTGAAGGGATCTGGTCGTTTCTCAGATTAAGATGTGTAGGTTTATGTTTTTGTTTCAATGACATCTGTCATGGCAGAATCTTGAATTTGGTCATTTGGTTATTTTCGTGTATGCGTTGTTATGCCATTAAGCTTAACCAGGTCCTTATTTTTGAGATCCCGGAATAAAAGTCAGTACACAAAGTGTTCAAAAGAAAGCATTTTACTTAGACGATTGGTATCCATCCATAATCCGTTGTGAATTTGTCTCTAATTTTTGGCGTGAGTCAGAATCCATCTTTTTTTTTGGCCTTTTGTGATGTGACTTTATTTTCAACTTTATTTTATTTATATAATATATAAGTATAATTACAAATTTATTGCAATGTATTATTAGCTAACTGATATTTGGTGTATTTAAATAAAAAAGCTAACTGATATATCACCGAATTCAAATCGTCTTCTTTTCTGCCTTTCTGGTTTTCTTATGATTAATGAGCATCGAGTTGGAGTTCAAAACCATCCGTACCTTTTTGACGCGGTTAATGCATGACTTTTTTTCCACCACTTTTCTCCTCCTTTTTTTCGAGCTGAGAAAAATGACTTTTGGAGGGAAAAATGAATAAAAATCGCTGAAATAATTAAATAAAAACTAAGGACTTGGCGATAATCCCAATGAGTCTTCATAAAAAATAATAATAATAAAGAGAGAGAGAAAATAATAAAAGAAAAAAGAAAAAGACAACCAACGAATAACCAAGGAAACAGGAGTTCGATTCACATCACTTGAGTTGGGTTCTCACAGTCTCATTCTCAAACTCAGTAGCTCACTCTGTCTAGTGAAGTTTCCATTAACAGGTTTTCTCCTCCCTCTCTCTCTCTCTTTTCTTAACGTTATGAATCTTTTATTGCCTCAACAATGTATTTTTCAGTCAATATTTTGAATGAATAATAATATTAATATGATTGGACTGGTGGGGCAGAGTCTGTCAGTATTGTTTTTCTTCTTTTTCTTCTGGGTTGCAATGAAATTTTATTGCTTCTTAATGTAGGGTTTATGTAGGGTCTAGCACTAGAAGTGTGTGTTTAGTGCTGTTCTGGCTTCCACATTTGAGGAAGTTGCTTTTTTTTATTTATTTTTTGAACTTTAAACAAATCAGGAATCTTTTTAGATTCTTGGTTCTAGGTAGTTCAGTTTCTTATGTGGGTTTTGTTTGAATAAGTAGAAGCGTCTTGGCATCTTAATTAGGAAGTAACTTTCTGGCTTTCTTCAGCTGGGGAAGTTGAATCGGGTACTTTTTTGCGATTTATTCTTTAATATTCAGCTCCTCTTCATTAATGCTATTTGTGGTCGGATTTGCTTCTGCAATGGCTTTTCCTGGTTTTCTACATCTGGTTCTTCTGCACTCTTTTGCTTTTTCTTCTTTTGGCTTTTCGATTCTCTGACTTTAGGCATTTCTTGTGCTGGGTTCGTACAAAAAATAGAAGCTTGTTCAATTTTTTGTAAGATTTAGTTTCTTTAAACCCAGCTTCAGATTACAAATTTCCCCTTCGGCCTTCGTTTTGAAATTGCTAAATGGGAAAATGAAAGAAATTGTTGGAGGACACGACCAATATTACTCATGTTCCCTATTGTTTGTCAAGTGTTGAGATTGAAAGTATATCATGTCTAAATTAGAACGTTTGGTGTTGGTTTTTCACAGTTTGTTTTAGGGGTGCGACTTAGCATCTAGCATTTTTGTTTTTGGAAATGAAAATATACTTGCGATGAGCCAATGCTATTGTGAGTTGTGTTGATAGTTACACTCCCTTTTATGCTATACATTATTAAGCAATGCGCATTTATAAGTTATGAAGGCCATTGATACACAAAGCTGTAGCTCTACTTTGGTTTTGTTCATCAGTATCTCATTCCATTTTATATATGTTTCATTTCTGGCAGGTTAGGAGTTACGAGCTAACTGCGCGGCACTGGAAGCATAGCTCGAAGTCTTATTGGTACCAATGATGCATAAAAAATGGATTGGAGGCGTGCTTTTGCTCCTATTTGGCATGTTTACAAGTGTATTAGGTAAAACAGTAACCTTGTTCTGATTTCTGTTCATTCCAGTTTTATATTGTTGAGTGAGGTAGTATAATTAAGAGCTCAATCTTTCTGGAGTTCCTTGAAATGGGGAGCTTGGCTTACTGACTTTTGCAATTTTTTATTGCTACTTCATGTTTACATGACTGCTTTTAAGCTCTGTATTACTTATCAGTGTTGATTTGCTTTCCAAAGTACATTAGTTTCTTGACTTATGATACATGTGTATAGTAAGAAATAACCCTATGGCCCTCAGAATAGTTGCAAAGGGTACATCTACATCTTGAGCAGATGATCTTTTATTATATGATTTCTGGTTTTTTCCCCTTATCTTCTCTCTATTTGTAATATATATTTTTTCGCTTGTGAAATGTCATTTGCCAGACCCGCCTTGTGCTTGAGGCTTTGCCTTTGTAGGTATAAGCGGTCTTGGGCAAATTTGGGGCATGGCGACATGATACATAGATTTTTTTTATATATTTTGAGGATTTTTTATATGTTAATTCTTTACTCAAATAGAAGGGCACCATTTGGAATTTTGGGGTGCCTTTGTTCATTGTTGTAGTGTTATCACCCTAACAAGATACTGAATCACAATTTTGAAACTTATAGGTGCATTCATCGGGATAAACATTGGGACTGACGTCTCGGACCTTCCGTCTGAGACAGATACAGTTGCACTCCTTAAAGCCCATCAAATTTCACATGTGCGCCTCTATAATGCTGATACTCACATGCTGAAAGCCCTTTCAAACAGTGGAATTGAAGTAATGGTAGGTGTCACAAATGAGGAAGTCCTAGGGATTGGACAGTCTCCATCAACAGCAGCAGCCTGGATTAATAAAAATGTTGCAGCTTATTTGCCTTCAACCAATATTACAGCCATTGCTGTTGGCAGTGAGGTTCTTACCTCAATTCCTCATGCTGCGCCGGTTTTGGTTTCTGCTATGAATTCCCTTCATAAAGCCCTGGTTGCTTCAAACCTAAATTATCAGGTCAAAGTTTCAACTCCACAGTCCATGGATGTAATCCCTAAGCCATTCCCCCCGTCCACTGCTGGCTTTAATTTATCATGGGGACCTACCATTTACCAAATCCTTCAGTTTATAAAAAACACAAATTCCTATTACATGCTAAATGCCTATCCTTATTATGGTTACACCGAGGGGAATGGAATTTTCCCACTTGATTATGCTCTTTTCCGACCACTTCCCGCTGTCAAGCAGATAGTTGACCCAAACACTCTTTTCCATTATACCAGCATGTTTGATGCTATGGTGGACGCTACCTATTATTCTATAGAGGCTTTCAATTTTTCTGGGATCTCTATTGTTGTCACAGAGTCTGGTTGGCCATGGTTTGGTGGATCCAATGAACCAGATGCCAACACAGGAAATGCTCAGACGTATACTAATAATTTGATTCGGCGAGTGCTAAATGATTCAGGTCCTCCCAGCCAGCCAAAGTTGCCCATCAACACATACATTTATGAGTTGTTCAATGAAGACAAGAGGCCAGGACCAGTGTCGGAGAAAAATTGGGGTGTGCTCTTTACGAATGGGTCTTCTGTATATCCTTTAAGTTTGAGTACTTCCAATCAAATTACTGGGAATTCTTCAGGGGTTTTCTGCGTGGCGAAAGCTGATGCAGATCCTGATAAGTTGCAGGATGGCTTAAACTGGGCTTGTGGGCAAGGCCATGCTAACTGCACTCCGATTCAACAAGGGCAGCGGTGTTATCTCCCCAATACTATTGCAAATCATGCTTCATATGCTTTTAATGACTATTATCAAAAGATGCAAAGTGTTGGCGGAACATGTGACTTTGATGACACCGCCATGACAACTACTGTTGATCCAAGTAAGTTTCTGTCTACGTTTTTTTATGCCTTGACTATTGGGTATGTTTGGGTGCACTAAACTATTTTTGTGTTAGTTCTGAAGAGAGGTTTTTTGAAGCAAAACTGTAATTTGAATTGCCTTTCATTCAGATATGGTGATAGTCAGTTGTAAAGGACTTTCTACAAAACAAAGTCATCAATGTCTAGGAGATTCGTGTTTGTTTCTCTTATTTTTGCAATGAAACTCGTGCTTCCAGTTAAACAAAACAAAAGTTTAGTGGGTAGCCGAACCTTTTCTGAGTAGAGTAAGCTTGTAGCTAATGCAGCTTTAAGTAGTTATTAGGTGTGGTTTTTTTAATTAGCTCTAATGTTGCATATGAACATGAAAAAAGGCATGTTTTTTTATTGTGATATTGACTATTGAGGCCTGCTTGTGAACATGTTGAAGCATTATTAGTATGCCATTTTACTTTCTTTTTTTCTCTTACTTTTTTATCGTCCTGCTTTCAAACTTAAGCATTTTATTGCTTTTTATGGGTACTTGTACATTTCTACTACGTCTCAAGTTTGTTATCCTTGAGAGGTAACATGTACGAGTATTTTGTTTCTTTTCATGGTTTTTCTCTTACTTTGTTATCCTTCTGTTTATTTTCTCATTGTCCTAATATTTTGGTGGGCATTCATTTACAGGTTATGGATCTTGTAAATTTACCGGAAGGTGAGCATCTCACCCTCTTACCGATATTCATAATCATTACTTTAGAACTTGTACACTAAATTATGGGTTTGGCGCTAAACTTGTACTATTATGATATAGTTCTAATTCAAGCACAATCGGGGGACTTACACCAGCGGCAATTGCACCTTCAAGCGCCGTTGGAGGCTGGAGTTCAAATCTACAAGTTTCCAATCTTCAATATCTCATACCGGCAGCATTTCTTGTATTGCTTTTGCTTTGAGTTGAGGTGCCATCCAGTTTGTTACCGTGTAGCATAGTTATAGCAGAACATTCGAAATAGCAAAATGATTGAAAAGGACCTGGGACGTGCACGGCAGCACAAGCTTGGTGACACAACTGGAAATGTCCATGTATTGTTTCATCAATTTTGCTTGTGTTTCCAACTTCTCAGTTTATCTCTCCACCTCTACAAATTCTGGGGAGTTTTGTGTAGTTCCATTCAATTGTAGGCATTCTGATGAAGTAGTGGCTAGACCTTGATTTTTTTGGGACCAACTTAACTAGAACGTATTTTGTACCTTATAAATGAAAAAGTAATTCTAGCTTACAATTACTT